CACACACACACACACACACACACACACACACACACACACACACACTCACGGGAGCTAATTACAGGAATTCAACCAAATCAAGGAGACAATATATCATTGAATAAACTGGAAAATTGCCCTTATTCATCATTTCACCTTTAAAAGTTGGAAAATTCTATGAAATAGGGACAGAAGGTATCTTTCCTAGGTGTTCATAGCTCTATGTACATACCATGTCCAGGCACTGAACTGACTGCTTTGCTTGCCTTACTTGATAGAATCTCACAACAAGCCTACAAGGTAGGTATTATTATGCCCTCTTTTTCAGAGATGAAGAAACTGAGATTCAGAGCAGTCAATAATATGCCCAAGGTCACACAGTTGGCAAGAAAAGTGGCACGTTCAAGCCTGGATCATCTGACTCGGAAACATAAACACTTTCCCCTCCTCAATCCAGGACAGGAGAAAGAACATCGGGTTCAGAACCAAAAGATGCAAGTTCCCATCTTAGCCTTCCTGCTCATTGGTTATATAAACTTGGACCAGTCACTTAACTCAGCACCTCAATTTCATCGTCTCTAAAATGAAGCTACCAGTACCTGTCCTGGCTAACTAACAAAGTCACTTAAGTGAGTTCATGGCTATGGCTGTGCTTGGTAACCTGTAAAACACTCTGTAGTGTAATAAATGTGTTGTTATTTTTTTAAAAAAAAAAAAACAACAACAACCCAAAGCATCTATATATTACTAGCCATCAAAGCAAATTCTAGACAAAATTGTTAGATAGGTAATATTATTATTCAACAGCTACCACTATTCTCTCTGTGAATGTTTCTCATTTTAAAAAATTTTTTGCTTTGATTTGTTCTCGCCATGAGGCAGAGTTCCCTTTGTTGGTACTCTTTTTTCCTGCTTCCATCAAAACTTACTGATTTTATGTCCCATTATCTCAGGTTTCTCCTCTCTGTTAGAGCACTAATAAGTAATTCAAGCCGATAAACCATAGTCTATCACTGACATTCCTGTGTCTGTCCACCATGATGATAATCCAAAAGGCAGAAACCAAAAGCAAACATTTTAGGCATCAAGGAGACAAGTGAGAAAGAAATTTTGGCACAAGAAGTGTTCTCTGGGTATTGTTCAAATGACCCACAGAAAAACAGCTACCTTCAGACATTACATAATTAATAAAGGGCTGGCCGAGTGACTCAGTTGGTTAAGAACTCGCTCAAGATTGCGAGCTCTGAGAAACAGCAGTTCGATGCCCAGTCTGAGCTGAGATGCCACTGAGCTGCCAATTGGTGGCAGGATGGCTCAGCCAAAAAAGAAAAAAAGAAAAATAATTAATACAAAATTTTAGAACTTAGCATTGAATTTTAATCCATAAATATAATGATGATTTTTAAAAGAAGCACCGGTAGCTTTTAACACTTCATTCTAAACTGAGAACAACACTATTACTAAGCTTTTTCTCAACTTTTAGAGTCAATGGATATGTGCCCCAGTAAATATTCAATAATACAAAGCTTCTTTGTTAATTTTTTTTTGTTACTTTTGCAGGTGGTTTGCAAAAACAAATGGTTCCCTTATTTTCTCTTAATGGTGTACACACCAATCTTAGCTCTGTTCTTCCTTTTTGCTATTTAACACCAGTATGTCCACCTGAGCCAACACATTATGGAAAGTTTTCAGGCTCATTTGGAGCCTCAGAATTTGCTGTGACCTCATTGCAGAAGAAGACTGAGGCAGGAAACCCAAGTCTCATCTGCTGCTACTGTCTTACCCTGGACAAGTCAAAGCCTCTTCTCCCTCAAGTGTATAATAAAGGGTTGAAAGTCAATGAAATGACCTTTGCAGGGAGTCTCTTCTTGGTCTGTGCTTGTCTGAGTGCTAGGTAGTGCACTCAGGCAGTTTCATGTGGATGAACCAAGGCAGTTTCATGTGGAAAGAATACTCTGGAACTCACACACTCACATTCTCTTAAATTCTTTAAATGAATTTCAAATAAAGGACAGCTTTAACTTTTATTATATGGGAATCTTATGAGAAAAATGCAATTGTGAATGACCTAAGGGGTTTCTAACATAGGAGACCAGAACAGATAATAACATAAATGGTTCCTACTGTGGCACTTTTCTCACACTTGGCCTGTGTTCTGCACAGCTTAGCTGCTATGAGATACGGGGTCATTCTTTTGCATAGCCCCCAGGCTTCCTGAAGAACAAGTGCTCTCACTATTATTTGAGTTCAAGTCCCTTGAAGGATTAAAACTTAAAGGCCCAGGGCCAGCCGAGTGGCTCAGTTGGTTAAGAGCTCGCTCAAGGGTTTGAGCTCTGAGCAACAGCGGTTCGAGTCCAGCCCGAGCTGAGCAGCCGCTGAGCCACCAGCAGGTGGCAGGATGGCTCAGCTAAAAA